CCCCCCCAAACCCCGCACCCCGAACCCCGAACCCCAAACCCCGAACCCCAAACCCCACACACCAAACCCCAAACCCCAAACCCCAAAACCATAAACCCTAAACCCTAAACCCTAAACCCCTAAACCCTAAACCCTAAAACCTAAATCCTAAACTCTAAACCTTATAACCCCCAACCCAAAACCCTATACCCTAAAACCATCACCCTAAGCCGCCAACCCTAAACCCCCAACCCTAAACACTAAACCTGAAATCCTAAAACCCCTAACCTTAAACCTTAAACCCTAAATCTTCAACCCTAAACCCCAATCCCTAAACCCTCAACACTAAATCCTCTACTCCCAACCCTTCCCCCTAAACCCTCAAACCTCAACCCCCAACCTCTAAACCCCAATGTGAAACCCGAAACCCTAAACCCTAAACCTTCAACCCTCAAGCCTAACCCCACAACTCGCAACCCTTAACCCACAACCTTCAACCCCCAACCCTCAACCCTTAATCGTAAACCCTAAACCCCCAACCCTAAACCCCTAAACACCTAAACCCAAAACCCTCAACCGCCAACCCCCAACCCTAAACCCCTAACCTTAAACCCACAACCCTAAGCCCTAAACCATAAACCCTAAACCCTCATCCATTAATCCTAAACCCCCAACCCCAACCATCAACCCTCAACCCCCAACCTCCAACCCCTAACCTTAAATCTTAAACCCTAAATCCTAAACCCCAACCCTAAACCCTAAACCCTAAAACCCTAAACCCCCAACCCTAAACTTCCAACCCTAAACTCCTAACCCTAAACCCTAAACCCTTAACCCTAAACCCTAAACTCTAAACCTTAAAACCCCCAACCCTAAACCCTAAACCCTAAAACCCTAACCCTAAGCTGCCAACCCTAAACCCTAAGCCATAAATCTTAAAACCCCTAACCCTAAACCTTAAACCCCTTACCCTAAACCTTAAACCCAAAACCCAAAACCCTCAACACTAAACCCTCTACCCGAACCCTTCCCCTGAAACCCTCAAACCTCAACCCCCAATGCGAAACCCTAAACCCCAAACCCTAAACACTCAACCCTCAAGCTTAACCCACAACCCGCAACCCTTAACCCACAACCTTCAACCCTCAACCGTAAACCCTAAACCCCTAAATACCTAAACCCTAAACCCTCAACCGCCAACCCCCAACCCCCAACCCTAAACCCCCAACCTTAAACCCCCAACCCTAAGCCCTAAACCCTAAACCCTCAATCCTTAATCCTTAACCCTAAACCCTAATCCATCAACCTTAAACCCCCAACCCCCAACCCCTAACCTTAAATCTTAAACCCTATATCCTAAACCCCAATCCTAAACCCTAAACGCTAAAACCCTAAACCCTAAACCCTAGACCCTGGACCGTAAACCCCCAACCCAAAACCTCCAACCCTAAACTCCCAACCTTAAACCCCAAACCCTAAACCCTAAAACCTTAAAATCCCTAACCCTAAACCCTTAGCCCTAAACCCTAAACTCTAAACCTTAAAACCCCAACCCTAAACCCTAAACCCTAAACCCTAAAATCCCAACCCTAAGCCGCCAACCCTAAACCCCCAACCCTAAACCCTAAACCCTAAACCTAAACTTGAAATCCTAAAACCCCCAACCTTAAACCTTAAACCCCTAACCCTAAACCCTAAACCCCCAACCCCCAACCCTATAACCCCTAAACCCTAAAACTCCTAAACCCTAATACCCCTAAACCCTAAAACTCCTAAACCCTAATACCCCTAAACCCTAAACCCTAAAACCCTTAACCCTTAAATCTTAAACCCTAAACCCTAAACCCTAAAAAGCCTAAAAATCTAAACCCTAAAAAGTGTTTAGTTAGTGTAAGAACTAGAGAGAATGAACATCTTTTACTATTTAAAAATAGTTTGAATTAGACAAATTCTAAATTAGACAGTTTAACTCAATTATATTAGTCCTCAATAGGTGAGTTTGAGTCTTCCACCCTATGTTGAAGAGATAAAAATTGGTGATGTCCCATAACAGTTTTTATCCGTCATATTTTCCTTTTTCTCCTCTCTTTCATTCTCCCAAACTACTCGTTTAATATTTTCAACCTTTTAATATGAACTAGCAAAGTTTCTCTTCTTTGTTTGTTTCGCAGAAGAAAATGACGAGTCATTGAATTGTATTTCAAATACTCTACAATTTGACAACAGATTCTTTAATTTCCACCATTTCCCTCGTTCTTACATTTCTCTCTTTCGGCAAAACTCTCCAAAGAGAGCTTATAGACGCCTAATTTTCGGCAAACTCTGCAAGATTAATGACTGGAAAGGAAGGTCACAAGCAGTGGATTTCATGCAAGAGGAGTAGTGCTCTCCACGTGGAATACTCTAATTTGATGTCTGAATTGGCTGGAAAAGTGGCAGGCGTTCATTAGATGAAGAAAATTGGCGCGTGTCCGGCTGCATCGGATCTGGCGCACTGGTTACAGTTGCCACGTGGCACGTTCTAATTGGATGGAGCCAAAGGCCACCGACGCGAGCAGGTGGGTGCATGTGGACAATAGTGCTGTTGGACCGTTCGTGGAAAGAATTCAACGGCTGTGATGGCATCTTCTGATGTGCAGTAATTTCTAGATCTGATTTAATTCCTTTTTGTCTTTTTTTTCCTCATTTTCGCTTCTGCAACCACACAATCAATTCAAATTACCATTTATAAGTATCGTAAAATATCAATTTTAGCTTTATATTTTAAAAATATTAATTAATTTGCACACTTTAATTGTATATTTTTGTGCTCTGAGCACCAGGAATGCTCTGAACGGACTAGGTGGACCAAGGAAGAAAGAAAGAAAGAAAGAAACCAATTCTACGCAACATACAAGGCAATCTTTGGCAAACTAACCGAAGGAAACCATCAAAGTAGATTAACAAACGCGACCTACGTTTTCCTGATTGATAAATTAACAATTCCACAAACGAAATTGAATAAAAGCACAAACACTGATGAAGATTGAAAACAAATTACGAAAAACTTGATTGAAAAGATAGTAACTTCATGAACCTGGAGAGAATAATACCTCAAAGCAAAAATGACTTTCCCAATTAAATTTTAACTTTCCAACAATGCACGTAATTAAGTTGACATTTTCTAAATCAATAAAATACAATTAATTTGACATAGTTTTCCAATCATGTTTACCGCATAATCTAAGTTTCCTTATTGTTTTTAATCAGCCACAAAGTTTCCAAAACATAATCTCAATTAAATCATCAATAGGAATCCGAAATCCTCATATCAAGCAAAAAGGACACAATCCAAAAAAAAAAAAAAAAAAACCTGCAACAAAACAAACATTAATGTCTTTGTTGTCAATCATCCCTCAATCAGATTATCATCAAAACATGGCCAAAATAATGCCAACACCAAAAATTAATTCGACCCAAAATCCCCAACAAAGTATATAACAGAATTCAACAATAATAAATAAATAAATAAGATAAAAATTGAGAAAATTAGTACCTAGTAATTAGAGGGATCTGGAACTAGTCCGAGTCTTTCCCATACACCAACCCAACTCCAATCCTTTTCACCATCGAATTCGAACTCTGATCTTCCTCAAAACGCCCTGTCCGCCTAACTCTATATTTCAAATGGAATGATGCCTCCTCAATTTCGTCACCATATTTCCGAGGGATGTAGTCTCTAGAGCACGTGACGAAGACATGATCCAAGGTAATACCACTGCTTGTGATTTGAGCTTCGTCTTCCTCGTCAACAACCCAATCATCGCGGCGGATCATCCGGTTAGATTTGTAGTGAGGGTGTTTGTAGATTTCACCAGACTTGGTTTTAAGATGCAACTCAAAACCAAGGCATACAAAATAACTATTGGAAAAATAGTAGCATGCAGGGATTAATGACACAACAAAGCAAGTGGCAAAACCAAAGAAATTGGAATTAAGCCAATTTTTGGGAAGCTTCATACTTATTGACTTCCCCTCAGCTCGATGGCTAAATCATTTTGGAATTTCGCTTCCCGGATAACAAACTCTAGTTTCATAATTATATGAATCTTGCGGCACCTATAAATATGAAACAAGAATATGTAATGTATTGTGAATTATTTCAATCGTCAAACTTACTCAAAAGCCATTTTGCAATTGATAAGAGAGAGAGAAAAAAAAAATAATTTTTTTTTCTTTGATTAAAAGAAGATTACAAATAAATACATACCGTTGATTCTTCAATTCTATAGAAGAAATTGCTTAAGTCGCTGGGTTGTAATTTCCAACACTTAGTAAAAACAAATTTCTTCTCTTTATTGGCATTCGAATTGCAAATCAAATGCCGTAGAGCAAATCCAGACCGTGAACTTGATATCTTCTCCAGCGAAGTGCATCCCCTTGCATTGAGCACTTTTATAGACAATGGAAGTTGTGGCAAAGACTGAAGTTTCTTGCAATTTGTTATCTCCAGTCTTTCCAACCGAAGGAGTAGTTTGATGCTTGAAGGTAATTTCTCAAAATGGTTCCCTCCTAAATTTAACAGAACCAACGAGGATAAGAAGCCCAACCACTCGGGAATTTCAACAATGTTGCAGCCATATAGGAAAAGTTGTCTTAAAGAGAACAAAGAAAATAGCTTGATCCGGAGATGTTCGAGTTTGAAACACGAGCCAATATGGCGGTGGCGGGACAAGAATAGAAGGCTGCTTAAATTATAAACCCAATTTGGAACAAACTGGAGTTTTTTGCGCCATCCCACATCTGCACGATGAAATCCAAACAACTTATCAATTACAAAGGAGCCGGAGAAATCTCGGCCTGGTCCCTTTACATTATAAGGAGGAGGAGGAGTACTAGAAGTAGTCCCTGTCAAGTTTCTCAATCTTGAGCAATTCTAAAGAGAAAGCCTTTCAAGAGACTTCAACGTCTTAAGAATGTTGGTTGGGAGACTCTCAAGCTTTTTGCATTCTTCAACATAAAATTGCCTCAGACGATGAAGACCCTCAATTGATGATGAGGACACTTGTTCTAGAGGTGCCACTCAAAAGTAATACTTGTATGTTCCTCGGAAGCACCGGAAGATTCTTGATACGTTGACAATCATAGAGAATCAACTCCACAAGATTCTCAAAGGACCCAATTGATGAGGGCAATTCAGTTATTGCAGTCCTTGTTACGTCCAAGTATTTTATACTATTCCCAGACATCCTTGGAAGAGACTTAATGGCGGTGCAACCGTAAAGTGCAAGAGATCCAAGACGTCTTTGGGAATCAAGCGGCGGAACTTCAACCAGACTTGTACAGTTCTCGACATTAATACTCTCCAGTTTCAGAGCCCGAGATAGGTCTGGGACTTTGACTAATTGCTTCGACATGGAAAGGTTGATATGTTTTAAGTTTACAAGATTCTGCAAGAAAGCAATTGAATTGTGTTTGTTTTAATAAACTTTATTACTTGGTCAAAATACTTGTAATAAAACAAAAACAAAAAAGAAAAGAAACCATAGAAGATGATAGTCAACAAATTAAGTAAATAAATTTACAACATAAATACCTTAACACCATTCCAAAGTTGCTTAAGCTCACTGTTGGGCATGTGAAGGTGAACGAGATTCTGCGGCTTAAACTCCAAAGGCAAAGACTTTGATGGGTATTTATGCCAGCAGAGGTACCTTAGAGATTGAGGAAAGAATTGTAATCCCCTATTTAGGTACACTTCGAACTTGTTATGATTGTAATAATTTGAATTATAGATCTTAAGCAATCTTAGATTACACATCTCCTCGAAAACTGTAGGCCTCAAGTATAGATCTTCATTTATCTTAGACACATCAAGGTATATTCCTTCAATTGCTTCAGACCCATGACAATTATAAACAAATTAGACTAGAAAAACTTGCAAAACACAAAAGCAAAGAATTAAAGGTATAATTAATGTTAACATTGCTTATAAGCATTTTGAATTATATTACTTTGTGATTTTCTAAGACATGGTGAACATCTTGAGGAATCCACAAGCGACTGCGATTTCCAGGCTCTTTAATAGATTGTTGACGAACAATTTCCCAACACATCTCTTGTATCAAATCATGCATCCAAACTGTTTCATTCTGTCTAATAATGGTTACAAGACATTTATCTACGAGAACTTTGATCCCCGCTCTTGGAAACAAATCAGAGCCATCTAAGATGCTTTCCACAAAATCTCTTTTCTCCCCCTTTAGGAAACACGCAATATCAAGGAGAATATCCTTCTCCATGTCATCTAACCCATCATAACTTATTTTCAAAACCCTTTGAATGTCTGCATGGGGAACTATTTTAAGTTTGGCCAATGCACTTTCCCAATCTTCTACGGCTCCGGAGTGAAGGGACGAGCCTAAAACTTTAAGAGCTAAGGGATTCCCTTTAGTAAAGTTTACTATTTCTTTCAACAACTCAATAAAATGTGTCCCAGAAGGCCGCTTTCTTTTAAAGGCGTTCAAATAAAAAACTTCAAGTGCTTCCGCGGAATCTAATGCTTCAACTTGGTATATTTTATCGGCATCCCTTTTGAGCAATTGTGCATCTCTCGTCGTTACAATGATTTACTTCCACGGCCAAACCAATTACCATCTCCAACCAAACCCTCTAGCTGCGCTATATTATCAACATCATCAAGAACAATGAGTACCTTTTTCTTACAAAGCTTATTTTCCAGAAAGTAATTGACTTTTGATTTTCCTCTGTCAAACAATTCAGAAAAAAGTATGGCTCTTAAATAAGGCAATCCGTGTTTCTTGGACTCTTCCCTAACATTTCCGAGGAAGCAACAACCTTCAAATCGAGTAGAGAATTGATTGAAAGCAGCACACGCAAGAGTTGTCTTGCCTATACCACCCATCCCCCAAAAGCCTATGATACACATATTTTGTGATTCAAAGCACATCAATGATTCGATTTTCTCAAGGCGTTTTTCTATCCCAACAAGACCCTTAGAAAAGACGGCCGTTTTTGGTGGCCGACGTTCTAATATCCTCAATACATCTTCCACAATCTTCTCAATTAGCTTTGACTCATACCTATGGTAACGATAAGAGAGAAGTAAATAATTTGAAAGAACACATGCAAATATATATATATATATATATGTGTGTGTGTGTGTGTGTGTGTATGCATCGCTTTTTCACAAAAGCTAGTGTCTGCATAAGTAATTAGATAATTGATCGAATTACAAGGAAAATACAAAGGCAGATATATATCTTGGGCGTGAGGAAAGGATTGGATTGTAACAAACTTGTTACAACCTTCCAGCTAATTATATTAGCTTATTGTGGGAAATTAAAAAATAAAAAAAGGAAGAAAAATAACAAGTGAAATGACTAACTACCCTTCTAAACGTCTGATTAAACTTGTCCCAAACAGTTTAATACTCCCTTTCAAGATGGAGAATCAATATTATAAACGATCCCATCTGGCCAGGAAGATAAGCAAACTGAGTTGGATGCAGAGGCTTAATTAGTAAGCAGATCAACAATCTGATGTTGTGATGAAACGTGCAGCATTTTCCGTTGACATTACACAAAATGTTTATAACATTTTTATGGAACTAATATGCCTGATTAATCTATCTATAACATTTTTATAATATCCAGATATTTTTAAAATTATAATGAAGTAAATATTTCTCACTAGTATATATTTTTCCTTCTCTTTTGCAGTACTTTTAGAAAAGTGGTAAGGATCCCTCCCCCCCCCCCCCCCCAAATAACAAAACGTTAACAAAAATGCTCCTCTCATTATAATTTTAGATGGAACTAACACGTACGGGTACTAGTAGCAATTGTTTCTAACCATTCAATGCACAATTACTATTCCACCGACCCACCCACATTTGTATTTTTGTATTAATTACTCGAAATTAATTTGATATTAAAAGATCAATTTGAAGAAATTAATTACACCTCAAATTTAAAGCCAATCACGCAACGAATTTGAAAGAATCTTAATATATTTTTTAATTCTCTATGGATTTTTTTTTTTTTTTATGGTTATGGTGAAGGTTAGTTTTAGACTAAAATAAAACTAGATTTTAATAAGAGAGGATGACCAAAATAACCTCTAAAATTAAGTACCACAAGTAAATCATATTTCAATTTCCGTCACAAATTCTAACAGTTAAGATTTTTTTGCTAATGTTTTATGGATACAAATCTTATGTTTTGAAGATTGGGAACAAGGTACACTACAATAAAAAGGGTTATTAGTGATGACGTTATTAGCGACGACATTTGTCATTACTAAAATTCATACGGTCCCTCCTCTTTAATGCAATTTTGATGCTGGTTTCTGCTTTTTTGTTTCCAGCCGAGGAAGAAGAGTGAAGACTGAAGAGGTATTTTCAGTCTATACTTTGAAGACTAAAGAGGCAATTGAAAACATAAAGGTTAGACTTTTTTTGATGCTGGTTTCTGTTTTTTTTGTTTTCTGTTTTTGATTTTCTGTTTGTTATGTGATATATTACGTTTTTCAATTTTACAAACAGAAAGGTTATATGTGATATATTACGCTTAGTCTCAATTATATGTTATCTGTTTTTAGGTTAATTTGTGTACTAGATGGAAAAATTTATCATCCACCCAACACAAACTTCTGAAAGCACTTGCAAGGCCTCTGCTGAAACAGAAAGTGTCTCTATGCCTTAAGAGGACATTACCTTTTGCCCACTCCCACACCCAGCCCTACCCATGTACCTAATTTTGGCACTAAAATTGAAAACGAAAAAGAGGAGGGAGACAGTAAAAAGAGGAAGAAGTCACAGAAAAAGTCTCTTATTTGGGATCATTTCAAAATCATAGAGGGTGGGGATCCAAATGAGCCTAGGTGTAAGTGTATGTATCGTGGGGCAACATATGCGTGTGATAGTAGGAGACACAGCACTAGTAGTATGAAGGTTCACATAGAAAAGCAATGCAAGAAATACCCATATAGGAACCAAGACAAAAAGCAAAAAACTCTGAGTTTCCAAACAAACGCTGAAACTGGGAGTAGTCTTGTTGCTATAGGCTTGATGATTAGGAGAATGTTAAGGTGTTTGTGAAATTTCTAAAGACTTTTTATGATATAACTTTAAAATTTAGTGCCACTTTGAATGTCACTTCAAATTCTTACTTTCATGAGCTTTATGAGATGCAAAACCAGCTATCTGAATTAAGCAAACAAGAGGATTCAATGCTTTCATCCATGGCTGTGAGTATGAAAAAGAAGTATGACAAGTATTGGGGGAATGTTGAGAATATAAATTGTCTTCTCTTTGTGGCTGTTGTACTTGATCCTAGGTACAAAATGACATATTGTTTCTCTATAGGGTATGATTCTTGCACTTCTGAAACATTAGCAAAGAATGTGAAGGATATTATGTACCGGCTGCATGAGGTTTATAGTGGAGAGAAGGGTGAATCTGTGGCTAATGAAAGTAGTGGGGAGGCGGCAACAACAAGTACAACGGAGGCAAAAACGAAAGTAGAAGGAAAAGGGTGTTGGTGGAGCTCTTTTGTTAGGAAAATGAAGGAGAAGAATGTGAATGCATACAAAAATGATGTGGACAGATACTTGACAGACCCTATGGAGGATCCAACTCGGTCAAATTTTGATGTTTTAGATTGGTGGAAGAATAATGCAACTAATTACAAGGTTCTCTCACTAGTTGCAAGAGAAATTCTTGCCATTCATATTTCAACAGTAGCCTCAGAATCTGCTTTTAGTACTGGAGGCCGCATCCTTGACCCCTTTAGGAGTTCATTGAGCCCCAAGATGGTGGAGGCATTGATTTCTACACAAAATTGGCTGCGTAGTCGTCAGCACATCAATCTTATTAACGTTGAAGACTTTAATGAATATGAAGATATTGAGTCAGGTAATCTTTTTACGTTTTATTTTTTTTTAATTTTATTTCATCTCCTTGTTATTTATTTTGTTATTCTAAACTTGATTCTGATGATTTTTTTTGTTATGTTTTCTTCTCAAGATTTATCAAATTCTGTTGCAACACATGAGGGGTAAGTTGGGAATGAAGGTGCTATTATTCTGGATTAAACAGTTTAGAGCGGACTAAATTTCTTATTTTATAACTTTCTTTATATGAACTGTTTATTCTGGATTAAACTGTTTATTTTATAAGGACTATTTTGCTTCTCAAGATTTTATTTCATCTCCTTATTATTTATACTTTTGGACTGTTAAAAAAGGTATGAAGTTATAGATTAAAATTGATTTTCACCAACCCGAAAGGTTGCGGGTTTGTAGATTTAAGAGAGTGTCGTGGCCCAAAGTTTTCTCAACCCGCACTGATCGGGTAGGCTCAATTTTTCGGCTCACCCCGACCCTACCCGGCTGATTTACACCCCTAGATACTTGGATTAATCCCCAAGCTGAGCAGACTTTTGTAAGTATACTCGTAATGTTTAATTATATTTTTTATTTAAATCGCATTATGTATTTAATTATTTTTCTTATAATATTTGTAGCATCGGATGGAGGGAGAAATAGAAACGCAGATCCAGACGCAGTCTGCTACTCCTAGATCTTTCGCGACAGGAACAGTTAACAAGGAGGTTATATACGAGAAAGAAATTATTTTAATGAGACAATCAGAAAAAAAAATATTTACGAGAGTCATATTTTAAAAAATGAAAAGAAAAAAGAATATATAGTAAGGAAAAATAAGTAAATGAAAAATATAGGGGACAAAAAAAGGAAAGGAAAAAATAGAAAAGTAAACAAAAAGGAATCATTAGAAAAAATAAAAAAAATAAAAAAATAAAAAATAAAAACCTTATTTGAAATGTTTCGTACAGCACCGTACGGTACATATATACACACATTAGTAAAAAAAAACTTTCTTATTAATCAACTAAAACTTTGAATATTTGAGGCAGACACAGAAAACGGATGGAGGTCAACATATAATTTGATATCATAATATACAAACTAATTAAACTTACTCATCTCGTGAATCAAAACCAGACAAGTTGGTTGCCTCGGTCAAAGCATCCCTCCACTCCTCCACCTTGCTCATGTTGTGCTCGAAACGTTTTTCATGTGCAACCAAAGCAGCACCATAACTTTTCTTTTGTTTTCGGATGTCCGATGGATTGACTCCGTAAAAGACAGGTAAAACAACCTGTCCTTTTTCTTTCTTACATTTGAGCATGTGAACAAGTTCGTCTAAACACCATGTTGAACAAGCATAATTCGATGAGAAGACGATAATTGAAATACATGATTCTTCAATTGCCGTCAAGAGCGCAGGTGAAATTTCCTCTCCTCTTTCTAAAATTTTCTCATCGATGTAGGTCTCAATTTGATTCCGGTACACGCAGCATAAAGATGACTAGTAAAATTCTTTCGAGTATCCTCACCTCTAAAACTGATGAAAACATCGTACTTAGATATGTTGGGGCAAGTAGAAGAAGACGATGATGATGAAGTAATAGCCATGTAGTGGTACCCTCAAGACTCAAGTAGTTAATAATAATATTTTGAATAAAATGCGCAAAGGCTTTCTTGTTGAACTGTTATGAGAAATGAAAGAGAGTATATGGGCTAAATATAAATAAGGGGCTTATAACGACAAATCTTCTTTGTATGTTTGAACTTACGACCAAATGGTTGAGAAATGTTTCTGGAGAGTGGAAAGTGAATGACGTGTGCACAAATGGACAAAACACATTAGATAAACAGAGTCAAAATAACCCAATTTTTAAGTACATGTTATCTTAGTTAAATGTTAAAACATCTCCTGGTAATTATAAAATACTCTAATTATGCACTCAAGTAATTTTTTTTTTTTTGATAATCTTGATAAATATCCTTTAAAAGTGTAATATAAAGAGAATATTATGAAAAAAAAAGGAAAAGAAAAATTAGAAATAGCAATATTCGTATTAGTCATCCCTTTTTTTTTTTCTACGTATCATCATTAAATAAATAGATTTGAAACATTTAGAAAACGAAAAAGTTAAAAGAGTTTTTGTTGACGGTGATTTCTCGTCAACAAAAACAGGCCGGGTTACCTCTAGGCTTCCCGTCAGATTACCGGCCTTAATATTAAATGTATGTAAGAATTTGTTGGAGGAGTGTATTGGGCGTTAACAAAGATGTGCACAAATAAGGAACACAAGAGATTTTATAGTGTTCACTCTATAAAATCAGAGCTATATCAACTGTGGTTGTATATTTCTTTTGAGGGGATTACAATTTACATCAATTGTTCTCTCTCATTCTTTTTTCTCTCTTGGATCTGAACCCCTTTCCTGTATAGGGTCTCACCCCTTTTATATTGGGGCTTCCTTCGCTGGGTTGATTTCCTTTGTAGGCAGAAACACTCGAGTGCTCTCCCTTTTTAGGCCCAGACGTAGCCCACTAATTACTTGGAGTACTGTTCACTCAGTCAATTAGTCTTCTATTACGGCTCTATGCGTTCCTGTAACCCTTTTCTGTCCCCTGTGGGGCGGTTTAAGGGTTCGCAGTTAATGCCTGCCTTGCAGACATCCCCCACTTCTGTACGCAACTTGCCACGTTAGGTTTTTCCCCAAAGAGCATTCCCCTCGTCGCCCGTGTTGCTTAACCCAACTGTCCTTCTTGGTGGTTGATTCTACGGTCGAGGGATCTTTATGTGCTAAGGTCGACGGTACGATCTATCGACGCCAGAAAGAATCGACGCCCTAAGTTGGACTTCGTACTTGGGCTCTTTATAACGGAATGGGAAGGAGCCCCAGACGTCAAGGGTTGTTGCTTTGCGGGGAGTAGTTAAGGTCACGTATCATATTATCGTTCTTCCACGTGTCCGTCACATTTTCCCACACAACAGCTACCCTCCAGGTTGAGGGTTCCTTTTAGGCAGCCTCGAGCTTAGGTTCGGTCATACTTCTGTGCTTCGGGTGTGGGAAACCGGTCCCGAGCCTTCGTCTGCAATGATAGCTTGCACGCTTTGGGCGTGGGAAACCCGTCCTGAGCCTTCGTCCGTAATGATGGCCTGGACGTTTCGGATTTCCTTGAGGGACGCAACCGTTGCGTCGATCGATTCCCTATGCTGACGTGAGGCTTTATTTCGAAAGGATGAATGTGAGCCTTTGGATCGCGAATCTTCATTTTCCCGCCTTTGTTTGTCATCGTCAGATCTGGGCGGAATTCCCTTGCCGTTGGATTTCAAGAACTTCATCCAACGGTCAGGGGTCGAGGACTCTCGTCTCCTTAAATACCTTTTTTGAACCCGAAACCATTCTTTCAAAACATAAACACTTCTCGCATTCGCTGAACTGCCGCTTGCTCTGCCGGAATCCTTTCCTGCAAACACCCCTACTCGCACTCCTTGCTTCCAGGCGTGTTGTGAAGCCGCATTTAATCCCAGACTCTACCCGAAACTCTTCTTTACCAGTAAGCCTTATAATCCTCTGCTTGTTTTGTTTACTCACGGGTTTTTCCTTGTTGAATCATGTATGTATGAAAAATACGCGGAATGTAGAGGTTAGGGAGACTTACTCTGTTTTACTTGTCTGCATAGGATAGTTCTTTTTCGACTTTTGATTGTCTGTGCACTTCTGGTTCCTGGGTTCTGGGGAACTTAGGGTACCATGAATTCTCACCGTTATCATTCTTACATGAATGGTCGACGTCAAGTCGAGGCGTTTGAGTAGTCGTCATTTAGAATAGCCGTCCTTTTCTTCCTCTCGACTTTAGGGTTTTAACTCAGCTCATTGTCTTTTTAATCACCATAATAATGGCCCAAAACTGCCCCAGTCGAGAGGATCCCTCCGTCATCCGTCCAGACTCCCCTTCTATGGTGGAGATTTCATGGTCTTCTTCCTCCTCAAGCGTCGACTCCTTGCTGAGGGAAATAGAAGATGTCAAGGCCACGTATGGACCAGGCGACGACTTTGGTATCGAGTTTGGTAGTGTAGAACAAATGTTGGACGAGGTGGTCGAACGGATCCCCTTCACGGGGGGCAGCGTAGACGGGGTGGCTGCCTCAACGGTAGATGCCCCCTGGCTGCCACAAGTGGTGACCCGGACAGGCCTTTCTTTACAGCCGACGTTATGGCGTCGAGGGTCCGGAATAAGGATATTATCCGGGCTGTAAAGGAAGGATGCATCGACGGGAGGTGGTTCGAATACCTCCTCCCAGACATGCATTTTAGGACCAGTATGTCGCCGACCGGGTACCTCCCGGTCTATAACAGAGCCGTTACAGCGGGGATGACCCTTCCAGTTCATCCCTTTGTAAAGGATTACTGCCACTTCTACGGCATTTCTCCTGCTCAACTGGCGCCAAACTTTTGGTACTGCTTTGCCGGCGCCTGGATTTTGTGGCACCGGCGGTTTGACATGGAACTCCCTCTAGATGAGTTTAGATTCATGTAGAGACTATGCCACGTTGCCATGTGTGAGGGGTGGTATTTTTTGAGCGGTCATGGGAGATCTCAGCCCAGATTTGAAAAGTTGATATTGGATATTCCCTCGTCATCACATGGGTGGAAGCCCATATTTTTCATGATACACGGGCCTTTCAATTTTCATCCCAACGACCGCTTGCCCCGTCAAAGGAAGGTGCAGGCAGCGTTTGGGAACATGGGTGAGATTTTGATTTTCTTTTACCTTACTTTGCTTCTTCCTTCTTTTTCGTATGCCGACATTCTTTTACCCTTCAGTTAATCAAGACCGGCCAAAGCTTACTGGAAACAGGTTAGTGAGGATTGAGGAGGCCTTCTCGTACTCGTCTGAGATTCGCCATATTGATACACTCCGGACCAAGTCCAATCTTCGAGGCGCCGGGTTAATTTTTGATCTTTCAGACCCCACTAATCTAGACGCCGTCCGTAAATACTTTCATTTAAGCGACGAAGGTAATTTCTACTTTCGACGCCTTTCTTTATCATGGCTTTTGTCTTTCAGATGCTTACTATATCTTTGTCTCGTCATTTCCGTAGAAATGGCGTCTTTGAGAATCCAACTTCCCGGCAGTCAGCAGTCCGAGCTGAGCCAGCAGCCCCCGTCGAACCAACAACCCCTGCCGAGCCAACAACCCCCTTCCAAGGGAAAGGAGAGAGCTAGCTCTTCTTCCCATGCGCCAAGGAGCAAGAAGACTAAGGGCCCTTGGGTATTGGGGGCAGATCCTGCGCATAAAAGGAAGCACAAAGAGAAGACGCCGGTGATTAGTGCATGAAAATGCACCCTAAATATTGCTTTTGATTTACACAATATTAAAATATTTAAGCTTTAATTAAACAATTCTATTATTTTTATTCATAATATTTTTAATTCGAATTTGTCTAGTTTTTGCTTAATTATTTATAGATAAAAAGCAGTGTAAAAAGCCACACAAAAATAAGCCATGAAAGCCATATTTTTAAACATCCGGAACGAAGCCTGTCAGCCGAGCAGCACAAGCCATCAGAGAGAGAGCCGAGCCGATTGAGCCGAGTAGCTGAGCCGGCCAAGTCACATTAGTCTGCGTGGGTCCCAGCTCTTCCACGCTCCCCGACTCTTCCTCGCGCGCGTCCCCAACACGCCCATTCCTCAGCGAGCGCGTTCCTTCCACGCAGCATCACCGCGCGTCCCAACTTTCTGCCGCGTGGGTCCCGCATCTGCTCACGCCAGACCTGCCACTCACTCCGCACGCGACACTTGTCCAATGCGAGTCCCAACTGTCCTCCACTCTGACTCCGCGCCAGCACACTCCACCACTCCAAGCGCGACACGTGGCGTGTTTTCTCCTCACTGCCAATCAAGCGTCGACATGTGTCCCTCCTATGCTGAATCTGAATTCCTTCCCTAAAAATCAGAGCAAATTACCAGATTTCTTCCCAAATTAAATATATAATTTCTCCTAATTTATGTGTAATTTTATTTTGTTTCCTTTTCTTTTGTAATTTTCTAGTTTTACTATTTATTTCCTTATTTGACAGGCAACCTCTGAACATTATAAATAAAGGGGTTAGCCTAAGGTTTTGAGAACTTTTAATATTCAATTTTCTGTCGTCTTGCTGTCAATCTCATATTTTCTCTCTAGAACTTGTGTGAATGTTTTGCAAGATAGGCTAGAGTTTTCTTGGTGAGGTTAGAGATGAACTTCTATTGAGTGACCCAATTCAGGATTTTGATTCCTTGTTCTGTAAACTTCAACATCTGAATGAATTAAATCTCATATATTTTTCTATTACTTTTTAAAATATTGTGTGCCAATTTTTATATAAGTTCAGTCACGCTTTTCTTATGTAATTCTGTCATGCAATGTTTTGTTATTCAAATTATTTTACAAATTGTCTTTTACTGCAATATTGTCAGATTGATATATTGTCGATTTTAAATTAATTGTAATAATAATATTTTCTGAGCCAACATAGAGATTTAATTTATTCGATTATTTTATTTTGTGAATCAAAACTTGAATTGGTGAACAAAGCATTAGGGATTCTCGACACCTTACCGTTTTCTTCATACAGATTTTCTCCTTTTTATTTTATTTGCAACAAAAATCTCAAAAAACTCTCATTTTTCTTTAATTCACTTTTCTCTAATGCTCTTATTCTGTTAATCATTATTGTTATTTTGTTATCTCTCTGTGGATACGACCGCCCTTCTGTGCTACGATTGACCACTTGTGAATATCACTTTTGGGCGTTAATCAAATTTTGGAGCCGTTGTCAGGGAGATACTACTAGCAAGACTGATCAGTAGATTTTTGAGCCAAAGAGGTAAGTATACATTTTTTTTTAATTCTTATTTTCTTTGCTATTAAGCTGTGTTAATTTCTTATTTTTAGTTATTAATCTATGTCTAACCTTTAGTTCACGTTCTGGAGTAGATTAGTAGTTTAATTTGGTTTAACCTTTTTGTTTCATTTTTTTTCTTTCTCCTTGTCGTTTCTTATTTCAAAAAAAAAAAAAAAGGGATTACAATTTATACACGATTATATAAGTGCCTGACTGGTCAGGCACTTTCCAAGTGCCTGAGCAGAGACAATTCCTATATATATATATATATATTAAAAAAAAACTTTTGTTGTTGTATTCCTTCCTTTCTTTGTTATCTCACGTTCTCACATTCTTCATTTTTTTTTTCCGTAGTCTTGTTCCTAAAAAAAAAAAAAAAATCTCACACTTTTAGGATTTGTGTTTTAGAATTAATTGTGATTTGATTTTGTAACCTTTTATTTTTGGTTAATTAAGATTTTATTTTGTTTCCTCATTTACATATTTTAGTTGTTGTATTCCTTCCTTTCTTTGTTATCTCACGTTCTCACATTCTTCATTTTTTTTTTCCGTAGTCTTGTTCCTAAAAAAAAAAAAAAAATCTCACACTTTTAGGATTTGTGTTTTAGAATTAATTGTGATTTGATTTTGTAACCTTTTATTTTTGGTTAATTAAGATTTTATTTTGTTTCCTCATTTACATATTTTAATTGTTGCCTAATTTAATTTTTCCTTTTATAGTTTCATTAATTTTTAGGATTATAATTAAGATGGTAATTAATTGACTAATTTAGATTCCTAATCTAGAATTTTCATAATTTGGTAGATCTAGGCTTTTGACCTTAGGAATAGTTTCCATTAATTAGATTTCATTTCATAATTTATTCAATAAAATTTAATAATTGATTTTGAGGATAATTGTGTAGTTACGTGGAAAGTACAATCTGAGGGAGTTCTGTCTATGAAAGTTGGTACTTAAGTGGGCCTTGCCCCTCCAATCTTTCCTGGGAACGTTGCTCTGTCTAGGAGACTATTCATTGAGCCAAGAGCTATAGTCTTTCCTGGGAGCACTCTCGGTGGTTATAATTTACGTTACTATATAATTATTTTCTTTTTGATTAAAAATAAAAAAAATTAATAAAAATTAATAAAATAAAATAAAAAAAGAGCCGCTTAGGGTGAATGCATCGATATAGAGACGAACTAGGGAGATTTGCTCAATGTCCAAATTTAGAAACCCTTAGTGAAATTCTATCTGACTCATCTTCTACGTCTCCGTCTTCACACTCGTCGTTGGAATTCGCATTTCAAAATCTATTCGCAATGTCACAACACGAGGAAGTTCAGCAAAGGACGTTGCAAGATTACTTGCACCCAACGCACACAGCCACCCCATCTTGCATCATGTTCCCACCGAATGCACCGCCTACGGATTTCAAGCCGGGCATGATTGCACTTCTCCCAACTTTTCACGGATTAGAGAACGAGAATCCATATGTACACATTCGGGAGTTTGAAGAGGTGGTGGCCACCTTTCACAGCCATGCTGAGGCCGCAAACACCGTCAGTTTGAAGTTTTTCCCTTTTTCTTTGAATGACAAGGCCAAAAGCTGGCTGTATTCTCTTAGGCCCAGGTCTATTGGTACGTGGAAAGAAATGACGACGACATTCTTCAACAAGTATTTCCCACACCATAAGACCAACAATTTGAAACGACAAATCTTGAATTTCGCTCAGAAGGAAAACAAAACTCTCTATCAAGCTTGGGAGCGTTTTAAGGATCTATTAAATCTATGTTCCCACCATGGATATGAAAGTTGGCGCCTCGTAAGCTATTTCTACGATGGACTCACAATCCGAGAGTGCCAATTTGTTGAGATGATGTGCAATGGAGATTTTCTCCAAAAGGATCCTGATGAAGCTATCGAGTACCTGAATGAGTTAGCTGAGAAAGCTCATACTTGGACTGGACCGAGTGCTACTGAGAGCACCAGTAGGTCCCGACCAGTTGGAGTTTATCAATTAAGGGAAGAGGACAGTCTTAAGGCCCAAGTTGAAGCTTTGACGAAGCAAATTGAGGCCCTCAAAAGTAAAGATAGTAAAGGACCCTACATGGTGGCAAGGACAGAGGCACATGAGCCTTGTTTAGTTTGTGGTCGAATGGGGCATCTAACTCAGGATTGCCACACTTTAAGTGAAATGAGAGGGGTATATGAGGAGCAGTGTAATGCATTGGGCACATACAAGAAGCCTTACGGACCTTTCTCAAAATCTTACAATCCTAGTTGGAAGAACCACCCGAATTTCAGTTGGCGAGATTCGAACCAACATGTACAATCATTTGGAGGGCAATGGTGATCAGAGCAACAATCTCAACCACCAAGGACATATTTTGCGCCTCAGAATAACATGCAACTGAAAGGGAATTCTCTAGAGGATACCTTAAAAGCTTTTATGGACGCGCAAAATAAGACGAATCAAAGGGTTGATTCAATGCTCACGCAGCTGGTGGAAGAGAACAAGGAAATAAAAAGTCAAATCACAAAGCTGACAGAAGCTTTAACCGTTCAAGAGCGCGGTAGATTTCCATCATAAGCCCAATCCAATTTGAGAGGACAAAACATGGCTCAAACTTCCAACTCTGAAGGTCAAAATATCAACGAAGTTAACGTTATCACTGCTCGAAGTGGTAAGAATTCAGACACGCCATCAACAAGTACTACCACTTTGAGTAATGAAGAATCGGCTCAGGAGAAAGAAGAGCCAACAAAAATTCCGGTAAAGGTGCCCTTCCCCCAGGCTCTCCGACCTGCTGGAAAAGTGCCGGAAAACCAAAGTGAGATCCTGGAGCACTTGACACAATTGAAGATCAATCTTCCCTTACTGCATGTGATTAAGCAAGTGCCGACCTACGCCAAGGTTATAAAGGATTGTACACTATAAAGAGAAAGCACCATGTCAAGAAGACTGCATTCTTGACGGAACAAGTGAGCGCAGTGATTGAGCAGAAGACACCGCTGAAGTACAAAGATCCTGGCTGTCCCACCATTTCCTGCACCATTGGGACACGCGAATTCGGCCAAGCATTGTTAGACCTAGGATCGAGTGTTAACCTCATGCCTTATTCAGTCTACTCGTAATTAGGTCTTGGAGATATTAAGCCCACATCTGTGGTTCTACAACTGGCCGATCGATCTATTAAGAGACCACGAGGAATAGTGGAAGATGTGTTATTATAAGTTGATAAGTTCTACTATCCTGTGGATTTTGTTGGTTTGGATACTCAGTCAGTGGTTGATGTGGAGTCAAAAATCCTGATCATCCTTGGAAGACCATTCCTCCCGACAGCAAATGCTCCAATTAATTGTAGAAATGGTCTAATGAAGATCTATTTTGGGAATATGACTTTCGAGGTAAATGTTTTCAACATTGTAAAACAACCACAATGTGATGACGAGTGTCACCAAATATTCCTGATCAACACACTTATCGAGGAGGAGGTTCTGCTACAAGCAACTCTGAAGATCTTGAAAATCTCCTCTAAAATTCTGAATCTGAAAGTTCTGGTCCTTATAAGTTGGCTAACATTTCTGCCATTTTCAACAACTCACAGGACAGAGGAATTAAGTTTAAGCAATTGTGTTTCGAGGAACTTCTGCAAGGGAGAGAGAAACCAATGCCTTCCATCGAAGAGACCCCTACAGTAAAACTTGCTCAACTACCTGAAGGATTGAAACATGCATTTTTGGGAGTCGGCGATACCTTTCCTATTATCATTTCTTCCAAACTCGATGCATCACAAGAGCAGCGGTTGATCAACATACTGCAAAAGCATAGATCTGCATTGGGTTGGATGATTGCTAACATTAAAGGAATCAGTCCTTTGATTTGCTCCCATCATATTCATTTGGAAGAAGGAACTAACCCGCGAAGAGATCCTAAAAAAAGATTGAATCCAACAATGAAAGAAGTGGTGAAGAATGAGGTTCTCAAGCTATTAGATGATGGCATCATTTATCCTGTTGCTGATAGTAAGTGGGTTAGTCTGACCCAGGTAGTGCCAAAGAAATCGGGGGTCACTGTGGTGGAAAATGAGAAAGGGGCTTTAGTTCCCACAAAGGTCGTGACTGGTTGGCGCATGTGTATTGACTATCACAAGCTTAACGCCGCCACTCGCAAAGACCATTTTCCACTTCCATTCATCGATCAAATCCTAGAATGAGTGGCAGGTCATCCTTTCTATTGCTTTCTTGATGGCTATTCGGGTTACTATCAAATAGAGATAGCATTGGAAGACCAGGACAAGACCACATTCACATGTCATTTTGGTACTTATACCTTTTGGTGAATGCCATTTGGACTATGTAATGCACCTGCCACATTTCAGAGGTGTATGCTGCGCATTTTCCGCGCTCTGATTGACAAATGTATGGCAGTGTTCATGGATGATTTGACAGTCTTCGGAGATTCATTCGACACGAGCCTTCTCAACTTGGAAGTCGTTCTACAAAGATGTGAAGAGAAGGGTCTCGTGCTCAATTGGGAGAAGTGTCATTTCATGGTGTCATCCGGCATAGTTCTTGGGCACATTATTTCTGAAAGAGGAATCAAGGTCGACCGCTCTAAGGTTGAACTTATTTCTAACCTGCCCACCCCTAAGGCCGTTAAAGATGTCTGATCTTTTCTAGGGCATGCCGGATTCTACAGGAGGTTCATTCAGAACTTTTCATCTATAGCGAGACCGCTAAGTAACCTCCTAGCAAAAGATGTTATGTTCAACTGGACACAAGAGTGTGAGGAAGCATTCCGAACACTCATCGTAAAACTGACTTCTGCCCCTATTATGCAGTCACCAAATTGGAGATTACCTTTCGAGATCATGTATGATGCAAGTAACTACGTTGTGGGGTCCGTTCTTGGTCAACAGAGGGAGGGGAAGCCTTTCGTTGTCTACTACGCAAGCCGTACTCTGAATAGTGCTCAAATGAACTACTCTACTACTGAAAAAAAGTTACTTGCTGTAGTATTTACTCTCGACAAGTTTCGTGCATATCTGATTGGTTCACCTATCACCATCTTCACAGATCATGCCGCCCTTAAGTACCTTCTCTCCAAAAAGGATGCTAAGGCACGTTTAATTAGGTGGATCCTTCTCTTGCAGGAATTTGACTTAACAATCAAGGACAAGAAGGGAGTTGAAAATGTGGTGGCGAACCACTTATCTCGTCTTGAATTTAATGATTCTGCTGAAATTCCTGCTATTGGAGATGACTTCCCCGATGAACATCTCTTCGCCTCACTAAGATGCCATGGTATGCGAACATTGTTAACTACTTGGTGACGGGTGAGATTCCATCTACCTGGGGTGCACAAGACAAGAGGAAGTTTCTGGTTGAGGTTCGTAAATTTTATTGGGATGATCCCTATCTTTTTAAGTACTGCCCCGACCAGATCATGAGATGATGCATTCCAGATGATGAAGTGTCTAGTGTCCTGAACTTTTGCCACAACGATGCATGTGGCGGTCTTTTTTCTATGACGAAGACCGCCGCGAAAATCTTGCAGTGTGGTCTCTATTGGCCCACTTTATTCAAGGACACCAATGACTTCTGTCGTTCCTGTGAGAGGTGCCAAAAGCTAGGTGCTTTGTCCCATCGCCATATGATGCCCTTGAACCCGATTCTTGTAATAGAAATATTTGATTGCTAGGGGATAGACTTTATGGGACCATTTCCACCTTCTTATGGATTCCTCTACATACTCCTCACTGTGGATTATGTGTCTAAGTGGGTAGAAGTCGTGGCGTGCCAGAACAACGATAACACTACTGTTGTAAAGTTCTTAAAAGAAAATGTGTTATCTCGATTTGGAACGCCGCGTACCATCATCAGTGATCAAGGCACCCATTTCTGCAACTGTTCTTTTGAGGCTCTAATGCGCAAGTATGGTGTAGTTCATAAAGTTTCAACTGCCTATCACCCACAGACAAATGGCCAAGCTGAGTTGGCCAATAGGGATATTAAGCAAATTCTAGAAAAGACGGTTAATCCCGATCACAAGGATTGGTCTCTGCGCCTTCCGGACGCACTTTGGGCATACCACACTGCTTACAAAACCCAACTTGGGATGTCTCCCTACAGGCTTATCTTTGGAAAAGCCTGTCATCTACCTGTAGAGCTTGAACATAAGGCTTATTGGACTACCAAGGCCCTCAACTTTGATCTCAGTGCTGCAGGTGTCAATCGGAAGCTCCAGCTTTCTGAAATCGACGAGTTAAGGAATGATGCCTATGATAATTCCAGGATCTACAAGGTAAAAATGAAAGCGGCTCATGATAAGCAGATCCTGAGGAAGAACTACGAGCTGAATCAACAGGTTCATCTCTATGATTCCTGTTTGCATCTCCACCCCGGTAAGTTGAGGTCGCAGTGGATTGGCCCGTTCATAGTGAAACGCGTTTTTCCCAATGGTGCTGTCGAGGTTGAAGACCCAACTGATGGGAGAATCCTTAAAGTAAATGGCCAGCGTTTGAAAAATTACTTAGAGCGGGTGAACCAGGTTGAAGAGATCATTCTCGACGACCCCGTTTACCAGCCCTAAGTAGTTTGCTCACATCTCATGTATCATATTTTCATTTTCTATTTTCTTCGTTTCTTTTTACATTTTTTTATGTGTGTATTTTTGGAGAATCATATCAGGAAGCTCAAGCTGTGCTCATATGTGGAATGCTCATCATCCAGGTGTCTTCTTTCTCTATATTTCCATAATTTTTGACACTGAGGACACTGTCTGATTTTGGTTGAGGGTGGTGAGCATATTCATGCAGAGTGATTTTTGTCATGTTGATATTTTGGTTAAAATTTTTGCAAAGTTATCTGAGTATGATTTCAAAATGTTTGGTTTGAGTCGATTTTCGCTGTCTTGGTTACTAAGAAATGACTTCCAGAGTTTTTTTTTTTTGCACGTGCTAGACCTTGTGGTAAGATGGATATTAATGCATGTCAGCTGATAAAATTCTCAAGTTTAAGTGCTTGATTTTTGGTGAGTCAAGAGAGTAGAGAAAACGACTTTTGAACTTTCATTGATCTTTTGAGCTGGTAAAATCACTGTTAGAACATCATTACATGGTTAGTGGTATGCTTGGTGCATATGCTTGAGGGATGGATTTTGGGTTAGATAGGAATGATCTTATGTAATAGAGCTTCATTTCTTATTTTTCTTTTTAAAAAAAAGACTGAGTAAGAGCAACATTTCACAGATCCTGTAGTTTGGTGTTAATCACATTTGATGTTATATAGCTGTTTGTTAAAAGAACACCTTTCTACATTCACTTCAGGTTGTCTCTTGCCAAAAAAAAA